CTGCTTGGTCACAGTGAGTTTTGGTCAGCATGGTAGCTCCTCCCTCTCTTGCTCATGGCCTCGCCTGTGTCCAGAGGTCCAGTTGGCATCTGTCAGTGCTGGAGCCTAATCCTGCCCTGTGTTTCCCCTGAGGGCGACTGCCCAAGGCTGAGTGGACAAGGACAGCCAGGCACGTCCTGTCTCCCAGGGCACCCGAACCAGGCTCCCCCACTTGCCCTGGGGGAGCTTCCTGTGGAGGACATGGTTCCCCTCAGACCCTGTCCTTGTTAACAGCTCATCAGAGCTGCCAGGCAGCCACAAATGACTGCTCTCCTGGCCTCCTGGCCAGCCGACTCCATCTATTAACAAATTAATGGCAGTTCACGAGGCAGTTGCCGCAGTGACAGGAACATTTAGCTGGAGTGAGATGCAGGGAGAAAGGTTGAAACGTGAGCAGAAAGAGAACGAATTCAAGATCTGGGTCTGGGCAGGTCAGGCCCTTCCATGGCTCTCAGGGACAAGGATGGTGGCCGGGCCAAGGAGCTGGACCAGTGCCGGGGAAGAGGTCAGGTGAGGGCAGACGTCAAAGGCAGCAGGGCAGGAGCAGGACAGCCTCGCACGGCTGTGCAGAGGCACGGGGTCAGGGTGTGAGTCACTCAAACATCAATGGATTTGTCGTTAAGGCTGCTTGGCATTGGTGGTCTGGGAGTGTGTGGCCGGAATGATAAAAAGTTAGGGTCATAGTTTTCCAAATGTCTTTCAAGGAGCTGTACTCCAGTGGGAAGTTAATTGGCATTAAGAGAAATGCTAAAAGTGATTTATTAATCAAGTAATTTCAGGAACTTCTGACAAAGTTAAGTAGTCAAGTACCTCTCAAGCCCTTAAGATATAAAATATATATGCAAACCAGTGTAGCCAAGAAATGTTTTGTTTTGTTTTGTTTTGAGACAGGGTCTCACTATATAGTTAAGATTGGCCTTGAACTCACCATGTAGCCCAGTTTGAGGCTGAACTCATGGCAAGCCTCCTGCCTCAGCCTCCTGAGTGCTGGAATTACGGATGTACACCACTATGCCTGGCCTCGTTGAGGTTTTGTATGAGATGCTAGTTTCCCCTAAGTTGTCTTATTAAAGATCTTGTATAAGATGCAGTGTTTCCCTAATTTATCTGAGCACATCTTTTTTGTTTTGTTTTGTTTTTTTGTTTTCCGGGACTAGAACTCACAACCTCGTGCTTGCCAGGCAGGCACAACATCATTTTTAACAGACTGCCTCACACCATTGGGGAACAAATTTTGGGAGTGTTGCTCTAATGTGTACAACACTGTCTTAGAAATCAGGCTAAATGGAGACACTGGCTTCTGATTTCTGGGTGTTTTAGATAGTGCAGAAAGGGTGAAAAAGTTCACAAAAATGGATGCCTCTCAACTTCAGAATTTATCTGTCACTTGGATCCAAAACTGGTACTGGAAGAAAATACTAAGTGTTTGAAAACAGAGGTTCAATAATCACCGTGCAGAAGAAAAGAGATTAAACTTTAAATTCAGACGGGATTCAACATGGCTTAGTACAGGAGTCATGTTGAAGTCACTCAGAGAAAATCAACTAAAAACACAGGTAATTGGAAGAAGGGGGGGGGCACACCCCTGGTGCCAAAATCAATCTGCAGTAAGAGGCTTGTAGAGCCAACAAACACAGACCTTCCCTGGCAGACAGAAACACCCAGATGTCACCTAGGATCTGGAGGAAGATTTATTTAACATCAGTGGGTACTGACAAGAATCAATCCTAATAAAAAATGCCAGGACTCAAAGGCACAGGGAGGTTTTTATGGAGTTTGCAAGCAAGCAGCAGAATGTTTGGTGGTTATTGATTGGTTCTTACATTGTGTATCACAGAGGCCAGCATCACAGTGACCAGTCATTTCTAAGAGACAGAAGTAACAGGGACTGTAACAGGAACTGCAGTAAACAAGGCTACCCTGGAACTAACAGACACTGAAGCATACTGGCTGGGGAGAGGGGCATTTTCTGCTACAAACATAGGGTTTAATAAATGGACATCTGGGCCACAGAGCCGCCGGTGGATCGCCCACCCTGGGTGGAGCAGGCTCGCCACACTGTAAGTTTAAAAAACAGTAGACTGAAATAGTGCAGGAACCTCAAGCCACACAGGATAGACTCAGATGTAAAGGCTCTTTCTCCAGACAGAAGATGCGGTAACTGGTGGTCAACTCGTGGCCTCCAGCTGAACTGAATCAGTGTGGTGCTGAATGTGAGACCCGCCTGAGGATTGTTGCCAGGCTGCAGAAGGAGAACCGGAAAGGAAGAAGCAGGGTTGTCTCTCCGTGGTGTGGGTGGTTCTTCTGTTGCCACAGGTTCTCCTGGAGAAGCTTGTCGAGCTTCTTTTCCGATGTGAACTTGGCTGTTCTCATCGGCAGAGGAGCTTGAAGAAAGACAGCCTCTTCAATAAACGGTGCTGGAAAAGCTGGCTTTCCACAAGCCAAAACTAGATCCATGTCTTCACCGCAAACTCAATTAAAGTAAAAACAATCAAAGATCCTGGGGTTAAAACAGAAACATAAAGTCTGCTGGAAGAGAGACTAGGTAGGACTCTTGAAGACACAGGTATAGACAAAGAGTTCATGAACAAAACCCTAACTGCATGGGAAATATTACAAAGAATTAACAACTGGGATCTCACCTGATTATAAAAAACTTTTGCATAGCAAAAGAAATCACCAATGGAATGAAAAGACAACCCACAGAGTGGAAAAAAATTGTACCCAATTGCTCCTCAGACAAGATAGTTTTATCTAGTACATATAACCCCCCCCCCCCAATTTAAATACCCAGTCCAAAAGTGGGGATCTGAGATGAATATATACTTCTCAGATGAAGAACACGGACAGCAAATACATATATGAAAAAATGTTCAACATCACTGATCAGTTGAGAAATACAAATTAAAATAACATTGAGATTATATCTCACTCCAGAAATGTTGACTATTATTAACAAATCAACCAGTAACAAATGCTAGCAGGACTCTGGGGAAATGGAACCCTTTTTCATTGTTGGGAGAGTGAGATTGGTATAGCCACTGTGGAAATATTGTGGAAATTCCTTAAAAGTCTAAAACTGGAGATTCAATTCAATCCCCAGAGGGTTAAAAATACCACACTGCACAATTGTGTGCCCCGCTGTTGATTTTGTATTGTTCTTGTTTGCCAGCCTGCTCACTAGAAGGGGCTGGGCTCCAGCTGTCCCCCCCACTGGCAGTGGCCTGTGCATGGCGCTGGTTTGCAGGCAGGGCCTGCTTCTTGGGGAATCCTTGTTCTCTCCCCCTGCAGTCCGTGAATGGTTGCTGACTCACTGGGAAGGCTTGGGTCTGGCTGCTCCTTGCTGGTGGCTTTGCCGGATTAATTTATATTTAGGGTGCAGTAAGGTAATTAGACACATGTGTGCATTGTACAACGACCAAATCAGGCAAGAACTTTTAGTCTTTGGAAATAATTCTCTGAACCTTATTTACATATGTTCATGTGACTTATAATTGAAATGTGTGGTGAATGTTTAAATACAAGAATTTTTATTTAATTAAAAAAAAAAAGACATTGCCGTGAAGCTTCCTCAGAATACTCTCTCTTGCTTGAAACACACTTATACCGCTGTCCCTGCCACTTTCGAAGCAGGTCTGCAGTCTTCTTTTGTGAGCATTTTTATGAGGTTTGATCAAATGTACAGTGAGGGCTGGGGATTTAGCTCAGCAGCATAAGCACAATGAATGTGGCACGGGTGCCATCCTAAGAAAAAGACGGCTCCTAAAATTTGACCGTGTGTCCTCATCCACTCCTTCACCAGGGCTGGCACTGGGTAACTTCTGGCTCTTTCCCAGAGTAAAAAAGACCATGAAAAGGAAATGATTTTAACTGACTCAGACATTTAGGCAGCCACAATCATGCAACTAGAAAGACATTCAAGAAAGGGACTCCAGAGCTGCTTCAGAAGGTAGCAAGGATGAGGGGAAAGTGTTCCAAGTCAGGGGTAGGATTTTGAGGGAGATCAATAGCAATGAGCCTTTTATTGTAATCCAAAAAATATTAAATATTCATTGTATTTCTAGGTTACATCTCGTGTACGTGTGTGTTCATATCATAGAAAGGAAAATGTAAGTGAAATCAATTATTAATGTGCCTATAAAGCATTCTCCCAAGGAGAGTCTGATTCTCTGTGCTGATTCTTAGGTCTTCTGTTCCCACTCCTGCTCCCTATTTTTCCTAGAGCTCTGTGTGAAAATACTCTTTGCTGCATCTCTTGGATTTTTCTCAGGGCTCCTGATGCTCTTTCTAGTTTCTGACACAGGCATTTTCTACAGGTCACCAACAAAGCACAGCCAGGAATCACTTTTCTCGTACCCTCAGATGCTACATGGACTGACTGAAGGGCCCAGGGTTTTCAGGTGCTGGAATCCACACCTGGAGTTGCAGCTCAATTCCTGTGCAGAAGCTGCAGGTGATCATGGAGACCAGCTGGCCAGGAATGGATGTGAGACACGGTCCTTACTAGAGCCAAACAGAGGGTGTGGCACACACACCTCTCGCTTTTCTACTGTAAATTTTTACTGTAGAAGAATCATAACAAGCTGTGCATCTCTGCACCTTTCCCTGAGGGACACAGAAAGCAATCTAGGTGTTTGCCCACTTGGTACAATGAAAGGCAATGTGTGCTCATGTGCACAAAAGTGTCAAGTCAGGATTTACACATGTGTTAGGTTCTGAGGAACAATTTTTATGTATGTTTATCTGAGCATCCCAGAGGGTATAATGCACCCACACTAAGCTAGGATTTGTTTTAAAATTTTTTTCTTTTGATTTTTTGGTAGAAGAAGCCCAGGTTAGTACAATGCACATGAAAAACCAGATTGGCATGTTTTGGAGCAGGTTAAATGTGAATCATCAGATTACTCATGCATGGATGATGAAGATGATCCATTATAATGAAATACATGCTTTCATAACAGATGGTCGTGTGAGTGGATGATGATGGCAATGATGATGACTTTGACATTGTGAGCAAAAGTTCCTGTGACAGTGAAATGGAGCAAGAATCAACTGACAGACACAGGGAATGCAGACTTCTTTGACTCAGATGACGAAGAAAATAGCAATGTGGGTATGTATTGGATTAGTCAAAATGTTGCAAAATGGTCATGTAATCAAATGGAACAATCAAATGTTAGGACTATGTCCAAAAATTTAGTGAGGATCCTGGCAAGGGTAAAAGGTAATGCCACAATACCGTTCAATGGTAGAAATTATAATAGAAAAAATGATACAAGGTGTTGTGAGATACACAAAGGCTGAAAAGCAAGCAAAATGTTCTGTGTACACCAATATTCATACTTAAAAGTATATTTATTATGACATCTCACTAGCTGAACTGAAAGCATTCATAGGCCTACCACATTCATCAGGGATTTCTCATGGTAACTGCAGGAATGCAAAAGACTTATGAAAGAGCAATGAGTCACAATATGGCATAAAAATTTATGCCCTTGTAGATGTGAAGACTTACTGTGTTTTCAGTTTGGACATGTATCCTGGAGCTCAGCCACCGGGTCCTTATTCACATAGTAGTAAGCCAAGTGGTTCTGTAGACAGACCTGCTGCTCCCACCTCCCAAACTCATCAGCTGTGACTTTCAATCATTGGTTCCCCAGTTTCCAGCTGACGTTACATTTGCTAACAGAGCACAAGTTGACCAACACAGGAACTGTGTGCAGGAACAAAGCAGAAATTCCAAATGCAGTGCTGCAATTTGAAAACAGAGAATTGTATAGTACTGTTTTTGTATTTCAGGAAAATTTACATTGGTATTGTTTATGGCAAAGGAAATCACACTGGTACTACTGATGTCAGCATTTCACCATGGTGAAGATATTAATAGGGAAACCTTGACAAAATGGAAGCCTGAGACGGACACTTTGTACAACAAAACCAAACGCACAGGAGAAGTTGTTGATGAGTTATACAGCAACTGTGATGTCACTCAAAACACAAAGCATGGTTCAGTGGTTGTGTGTTACTCAATCCTAAAAATGTGTGGCATATAAAGTTTGACAGTTTACAGAGAAAATGACAAGTACAAAGTCCCACAGAGAAATTTTCTTAGAGGTTTCAGAGTGGAACTCATAAGAGATCATTTGCCGCAGAGAAAAACTACACAAAATATTGTGAAGCACACTGCTGAGCTGCCAGGTGGTCAGCATCCCTAAGACCTACTATGAAAAAAACCAAAAATATGTCAACTGTGCCCCACGAGAAAGGACAGAAAACCAAAATGCGTGTACTATCATTGAAGTGATACTTGTGTATGAAACACCTTTCATGTGTGAAGTCTGCCTTGGGTGTGGCAACTGAAGTAAAGATTATTATTGTTGTAGAGGTTGTTGGTAATTTCATTGCGGTTAACCTAGGCTTTTATTTCTGATGTTATCTGTTAGCAAATACATAACTAATGTGAAAATGTTGGTTTCTATCTAAGCAGTCATTACATATTTGATGTTTTATTTTATTGCTATCCTATTTTTCTGCTAAGTGTACACTAAACAACATAGTGGAAAGTTCCTGACAAAACAGGAAGAGCGTGACAAGATTGCCACATGGGAAAGGACAGTTGAGCACACGCACTGCCAGCGTAGCGAGACCTGTGCGTGAAACATGCAGCTGTCATGTGTGAAGCCTGCCACACATGTGAAGGTGTGAAGGTGACAGCGAGAGCAAAGGTATTTCTGTGCCAGCCTTTCCTTTGTGTCTGCGTTGCGGCTCGCTGGGCTTTTATTTCTAATGCTATCTCTTATGCTTTGTAAGCAAGAACACAGCTGATTGGAAAATGTTGACGTCCATTGTAGCACTCATTACACATTAGAATTTTATTTTATTTACATCTTATTTCCTTATTTAGGTACAATAATTGAGGTAAAATTTTTTTGGTGGAGTGCTGTTGGTATTTTCATTGTATTTCTTGTAGGAATGTAACTCTGTTGTTCTGTTTTACACCAAAAACCAGCCCACGCTGAAAATTTTGATCCTTTTTTATAAACTCAGTGAATATTAAAAATGCAATATTTTGTTTTGTGATTTTGTTTACTGTTAAGCACTCATTGTTTAATATAATAGAATTCATAAAATTCAAACTAATACTTCATCAACAGAACCCTTCTAATGAGTAAACACGACTGACACCCCGATGTCACGCTACGAGGTGGTGAGCAGTATGTTAGGCTAGCAGGGTTTTAAGAGCTGTGAAATGAACAGCCCTCACATGCGACCCGGGCCGCACGAGCAGATGCCTTCAGCGGGACCACTGGCTGCTGACTCACAGCCAGCTTTCTAAGGTGCTGTGAAGCCTTCGCGTCCGTCACAGGGTGGCCTAGTCGGGGGCAGCCCAGTGTCCCTCTCTATCCCCCTCCCAGGATGCCTGGGAGGGGAAGGGACAGCAGATTCTGTTGTCTTCCCGAGGCCTCTGCTCAGCTTCAGCCCACATCAGGAGGCTGGGAGGTAGAGACCACTCAGCTTGTCACTAGCCAGTGGCGGGGCGTGGCCTCGCTCCTGTGCATCTTGGCGGCTTGGTGGCCTGCTCTGGAGCTGGGCCTGTCTCCACCTGCAGGTTGAACGGGTGCTGTGTCTGACTCAGCTGTCGGAGGAGCAGGTGTTGCTACTGCGCAGCGCTGGTGTGAGACCTTACTGTCCTGACTCTTCTCCAGGCCCACCAAAAACAAACCCCCCTTCTCTCCCTGGCAGTTTCTCTGCTGCCTCTCAAATGTCACCAGGCTGTGGCGTGGGTTAAAGGCGTCTCCATGGTCTTGGGGAGCAGACTGGAGGAAAGTTGTGTTTTCTATGGGTCTTCAGCAGCTCTCCAGTCTCATTTCACGGGTGACGCCCTCCCTCTGTGATCACTGAGGCCAGGGAAGGCGGCCAGTAACCCAGCTTCTGAGTCTGGAACTGAGAGGGCCAAACTGCAACGAGACTCTCAGGCTTTCCAGAGTCACAGGGAAGAACCCCGTCCTGAGAGGAGCCTCAGAGGTCCAGAGCATAGAGCGTCGTCTGCAGGACTGATGGGGTTGTGCAGAGCCCTTCCCTTGCACAGCGAATGTCCTCCTTGAGGAATTCACGGCCAGTGAAAGTGGCTTGTTAAATGGCCTCTCTAAGCCCACAGCTGGGAGCTGTTAAGGTTAAATTATTAACGAGAAGCTATATTTATAGAACGGATGAGGCTGTAAAATCAGGTTTTCTGGAGTGTTTAATTAAAATGGCCTATTTAATTTTTTCCTTTCTTGCTTTGTGCCTTAGATTATCATCTTAAATTAAAAGTCTTGGCTCTATGGTTTTATTTTATTAGCTTTGCATTTGTTTGAAAATCACCCATTTGATTTGCAGGAATGATTATGACCATATGATCATCACCCTCACAGCTCGGTGCTTTGGCTATTTTAGAAGATTTTCTCTTCGATCTTAGCATAAGCTGTGTATCTGACAATCTTTTCTTAGATGGTTTAGTGAAGTGTTCTAAGGCAGTTTTGGGGGCGTTTCTTTAGCTGCTCTCAAATATTCATTTCCCAGGGTTGGACAGGAAGAGTCACAGCTGGGAGACTCCCCCTCCCTGTCTCTGTGGAGGTCACACAGATAGGCTTGGAGGTCAGCAGAGGCAACACGGGTATCTTCAGTGTGCATAGGAGCCAGGTGCACCCAGTGTGGGGCCCAGCCCTGAGGAGCAAAGAGAGCCTGGAGAATCTTAGGGAATGAAAGTTCAGGGCAGACAAACAACTCAAGGCCTTACACAGAAAAGTTGAGATCTAGTTTTAAAAATGGCCAACTGACCAAAAGAGACACTTCTTCAGAAAAGACATACAAATGGTCAATAAATATACGAAATTTGCTCCATATTTCTGGCCAGCAGGGAAATGCAAATTACAGCAAATTGGACCTTGCCCCTGCTATCATGAAAAAAATAAATGAATAAAAGATGCTGGTGAAGATGTGGGAAAAAAGGAACTCTTATACACTGTTAGTGGATGTGTAACCTAGCACAGTCGCCATGGAAATTCCTGCTTGGAAGTGCCTGTCTGTAACACTAAGGCTGGAGAACTGCAAATTCAAGAGCAGTCTGGCCAGCTCCGTGCTTTCACGAGATCCTGTCTCGAAAGAAGTAAAAAGGGCTGGGGATGCAGCTCAATGAGAAGGCCCTGGGTTTGATCTGTAGCAGTGGGAGGAGAAAAGAGTTTTGTTGACATTCTCAGTGTTCATTCTTTTGTGCATAACTTCCTTTCATTCTTGTTCATAATTTTGCTGGTTAAAAATGTTTACACTGAGCTGTGGTGAGTCCTCCCCCACCTGGAGGACCGTGGCAGGCTGGAGAGAGTACAGGTGAGTCCTCCCCCTACTGGGAGGAGCTTGATGGGTTGGCTTTAGTGTGGGTGAGATTGGTCCCCTCTTCCAAGCGGGGAGAGTCTCCGTGATCACTCTCCACACTCAGAGGACCTCAGTGGGCCGGGAAGAGTGTGGGTGAGGCCTTCCCCAGCCAGAGAAACCTGAGTTGGCCTGCCAGACTCCCACAGACACAGCAGGGCCCTGGCTTGGGAGCACACCATGGACTGGAGGCCCGGAAAGTCTGAAGCAGCAGTAACAATACAAGCAAAGAGTTGGTTCACATCAGAGCTGGTCAGCCCAGGAAGAACCCAGCGCTCATCCAACTGGCCCCGCAGCAGGAATTCAGGTAACGGGCTCCTCCTCCACACTGTGGTGCCCAGCAACTGGGTGAGCCTCAGCCACATAGTGAGGGACAGATAAAACTATGCTGTTTTGCAATTCTGTATCATCATTTTTGTTCTTTTTCATTTTAAAAAGAACTTTTACGTTGACAATTATTTTGTCTCAGTGTCTGGAGGACTTGGAGCTGAGTACCACTGAGCTTAGGTGTCTGTGGCTGCTCTTCCTGGCATTCTTGTTAGGCGGTTTGCCTTTCTTTCTTGCTGCTTGAGGATCCTCTCTTTGTCTCTGTTTCAGCTTTCTTACCAAATGCTTAGACGTGGATTTGCTTCTATTTTCCGGCTTCGAGATACCCTTAGCTTCCCAGATCTGTAGATGTCTGTTATCTATTAGCTGTAACAGCTACAAGGCCATGCTACTTTAAAAACTGCCTTCCTCATGTATTGTTTCTGAGGGCACTCGCCAGCGGCCTGGCACCTTTTCACTTAGGGTTCCTGTCACTCGCCTCTGTTTGATTTCCCAGTGTTCCGTGATGCAGGGTGGCAAACTGGCATCCTTTCCCTGATTCTTCTTTCACTTCTGCCTCTCTGCCACTCAGTGTTACCTCTGGACTTAAACCCGAATTCTACTTATCTGTGGACAGGTGACACGTTTCCATGACACTGGGAAGGGAGTAATGGAACACAGCCCAGCGCAATGTCTCCCCTCTTACTCTCCGCCACCTATGTCCCTTCCAGTGTTTTGACATCAGCTTCCAGGCTATTTCCAATGACCACTGCTCAATCCTTAGGTTGCTTGAATGTCAGAAGCCTTAACCATGGTGGCTCACCCCTTCTTGTTCCCAGCACCCCCTCCTCCCTTCTCTCTTCCCTCCCCGAACACTTCTCCTTTCTCCCCTCTGCTGTGTTGGGAGCAGGAACCAGGGGTCCGGCAGTGAACCGGTGTGGAAAACCACACACTGAAGCTGGACCTCAACCAGTTCCTCATCCTGCAGTAACCTCAGCCTTCTAGACAAAGCATCGCGCTAATATGAACCTGGGAATAGCTTCATAACATAAGCAAAGAAGTTTCTCATGGGCCCAGGAACATGTTTACCTTTGCTGTATGCACAAGAAAGTGTCCTGAAGTGACTTGTACTGCTCTTTGTTTTGAAACACTATAAAAACTCTGGAGTCCTTTAATAAATCGCCTTTTGCCTCCTGAGCAACTGGTCTCCCTGCGTCTTCAGTCTCTCGCCTGACTCCTTCCCCGCGCTGGCCGCGACACCTGGCACTGCTGGACTCTCCTTTGGGCTCTGTTACCGATGGTGGAGAAGGTCAGGTCTCATCTCACTCTTTGACCTTATGCTCTTTGTGGTCTAATGCAGGCTGTGGCTCTAACCCAGTGCTATGGTTTGTATCTAGATTGCCCCCTGCCAAAGCCTCATGCAGTCATGGGGTTTTTCCTTCAGAGTTGGCTGTGTGTGGAGTGCGTGATTGATTCGTGGTGTAATGCTGGCACGAAGGCTGGGTGATTGCTGGATCTGCCCACTGACTGGATAATCCTAAACCCAGCAGTCTGGATAAGATAAAGAAGGCAGCAAGAGGCTTCCTTCATCCTTTTGCATTTGCTCCTTTGGCCATCCTCTACCCACCAAGAACTCTTCTCTGCAAAGTCACCCGGTCCTGGAGCAGCCAATTATGGACTGAAGCCTCTACAAACTGTGAGCTAGATAAACCTTTCTCCTCTGAACTCTGGACATCAGGTATGCTTACTCAGCAGGGAGAGACAAGTAACTAAGACACCCAAGCTTGTGGATTTAGCCTGCAGCCTAACTTCCTCTGAGTCCAGGCTTGTATACAGCACCCACTTGGACACCTAATTACCACCTGTACGTTCACATGCCAGTCCTAACTCTGAGAGAATTCTAGTTTCCTTTCAGGAAGTCTTTCTTGCACAGTGCTCCTTGTCTTAGGTGAAGACCATTTCATCCTTCCTGATACCCTGCCTGTAAAACCTTGCTACTGAGGAGTTCCAGGAACTGTCTAGCATTTACAGGTCATGTCGTCTATTTGGCTGAAAGTGACACTATTTTAAAAATTTTCTCTAATTACCAGTGATTTGGGGCCCATAACACTTTTTGGCTGTTTAGTTTGCGTATTCTCTAATCATCTTTAGTCTGCTTTTTCCTAAATGGATTGTTATTATTTTTATTCATTCACATTTTCCCATGAAAGTTCAGTGACTTACCCCAGGATAAATTATTTGAAACCTAAAGTCTAGTGTGAGGAATCCTGTAATAATTAGCTGGGGACCAGAGTGGATTTACTGGCTTTTACTTGCGTGGCATCTTCAGGTCCCGCTTTCCTACCTTTGGGAAGTTGAGCTCTCTGCACATTTCTTGTTCTGTGAACAATACGCTTTGCTTTCAGACTTTCTCTGGACCGCGCTCTAGCTCTCCCTTTCTGCTCTTTGACAGTCAGTTTTCCCTCGCAAATATCTGAGACATACTGACTTACGAAGAGGAACTCTTAGTCACAGTTTTGAGGTTTCAGGGCACGGTTCTCTGGCTCCATCCCTTTGGGCCTTTGGTGGTTTTACACGCCACAGCGGAGCAAGGCTGGCACAACAGAAAGAACAAGGTTGGCTCATACAGCCCCGTCCAGCCACGTTCCATGACCTCACTTCCGCCCACGGGGCCCCTTCTTTTAAGGGTCCCACTGCCTCCCAATAGCACCACGGCCGTTGGGGAACAGTCTATGTTCAACAACTACTTTCCTCTTCTATTCTGGTTTCTAAGCAGTTGTAAATTCAAGTTATAATAATCATAGGGATTATAATTAAATGAACTTCTTCATCTCAATTCTGCTTCATTACATTTGAGTGGCGTATTTTAGACTAATATTTTAATGAGGAAAACATCGAGTACATTTCTATG